ATTAAAAACAATACAACAACCAACACCAAAAAAACAAGTGAAAGTGCTTTCTAAGCTGTAAAGCATGCAATTTTCATTTTTAAATTACTGTATCTTATGAATGCCTGATGGTATATCCCTAATTTCCAAGAGCTTGTAGTTTATTTCTGACATTAATCTCATTGTAGATTTTTTACTTCTTAACATTGATGCTTGCCATGTTTACTAAAATGGCTTTCAAATAACAATTACAAATCAATCTCAAGACTCACTACTAATTGAGTTTTATATGAGTTTAATGATAATATAAATAAAATAAAACTATTTTGGCCAATAAATGAGATTTTTATCTCATTAGCATGTACTTTCTGATGAATAATCTATATCTATATATAGGCACTTATCTTTGATAATATGGCAATTTTGTGTTCATAACATTATATATATTATATATATTACCTTTTTTGAAAGTATTTTTCAATATTGTGAAATTCTTCATTCCTCTTGAAAGTGGAGGTTATATTAATCATAATAAAAATATCAGGTCTTTCAAGCGGAATTTGATCTGGAGAAGAAATGGCCTATAAAGTGGGATTTGAGAGTAGAAATAAAAAGAGGCACCATTCCTACAATGCCTAGGAAATAATTTACTCATTTATATGAACTGCCCCAATATTGCTTAGGGTTGAACTCCAGATTGCATAACTAAATGTTCAGCAGGAATGACAGATTCTGATTTCATAGTTCCTTTGGAAAGCCCGAAAACATGCTGAGAAATGAAAACCAGGGATAAAATTTACTTTCACATAAGGAAGGATATGTATTGAAAAACCAAAATGTAACTGAGTGCATGAATATTACCATTAATTTTTTTTTGAATGACCTTGTTTACAAGACTCTTGAAAATGTTTCAGGTGAGAATACATAGCTACATGATGTTTTAAGATCAGAATTAACTGAAGCTCATTACCTAACAGTCCATTTGTGGTGAGAAACACCTTTATTAGTATTAGTTAGTCTGCTTGAAGGCTATTGGAAGGAGAAACTTTATTACTTCTCTGTTTCATTTTTGTAAGACTTCATTGTTATTATTTTTTAATGGAACTAGCTATAGGACCTAGAAGTCCATTCAACATCTGACTTTTAAGGCATTTTACAAATTTTGTTAAGATCAGTGTTTTTCATAATGATTCCATTAATAAAGACATCCAAAATTTCCCTAGTATTACAAACTATTTGATTTAAAATTTTATTTCATAAAAAAGTATATGCCATAAAATATATCATAATTACTATATGTTTTAATATATTTAATTGAGGTTTCATTTATTTCTCTTAGAGATCTATTCACTTTATAAAACTAGCGGCTATGCCTAAATAGCAATTGCTGAGTTCCACTTTGTTTTTACTTCTTTCAATGTGGAACTAAGGGCTGGAGAAGTAAAGAGATTAATTTTCATTCAGAATCCTTATTGATATATAGACACAATAAATGTTAAGGGTGTTCATAATATGTTTCCATCATGATAACGGAACTACAGCTGGACAAGGTGGTTGTTCTGGCAAGTTCTCAGAGTCTGACGACATAAATCAGAGTAGGTTCTACTGCCACTACAGAGACCAGCCCCTCTCCTTAAAACAACATTGAATCTTCCTTTTCTTCCATCAGGATAAAAAGCAATACATTCACTATTTCTGGCAATGGGATAAAGGCTGGATTGATGCCATTTGGACAAGTCAAATTCAGCAATTCAGCATCAAATATATAATAAAGTGCAGCATTAATAATCTGGAAAATGAAATTGAATTACTGGACCAAATAATGAAAGATAAGACTTCATGGTCTGATTTCTGTAGGCTTTTGCTTTCTGTATTTTGTGCAAGAGATAGATGGATGTGCTCATTTACTGCACATAACAAAATTTACAAAACAGAAAAATTTTTCCAATATCATGTGCTTTTATTAAAAATAGCTTCATTTATTGTCTATCATGCAGCCACACCTTCTCTCTCTCTCTTTTATCTTTATCCTGGGAAAAAGCAAAATGAACAACAGTTTTATTTACGACTTCTAAACACCTCTTCTAAGATTTAATTATGTAATTTTATATATAATTTGTATAGATTTCTCAAATAATATTAAGAAATGAAATCTCAGAAGTTCTGTTGGCAGCACTTTAAGAAACAGAATGAACTGGTATGTGTTGTGAGAATAATTCATTCAGTATCTAAATTTGGATCTGAATTGACAGTGTGCTACATTAATTCTAGATTTCTTTTTCTTTCATAGAGCCAGATATATCTTGCTCTGAATCCTGATGGAACCTGAGAAGACAATGGTGTTATAGCTGCTTCCTATCTAATATGTACAGTTTTTAGGATTATGCATGTGTAGCTTGGGGGATATGTTTTTATAAGAGATTTGACTCTGCATTGTTATATTTTATGAGAAACAGATGAATGGCTTCCTAGAAGTGTATGACTCCTTGCCCAGGCATACATGCTATGTCTTTGATATTTAATGATATCCTTATCTTCAAAATTAGTAAGCTGAAGCACCAGATAAACAATTGAATACATTATTTTAAAATTATATTGCTTTGGAGTGCCATACTATATTTCTAAGCACTCATCTAAATCTTCAACTTTATCTAACTATCTTGAAGATTATCCCAAAAGGATAAGAAACTGAGGGGCTGTTTCTTTTTCCCCACCTTGATCAATATTAACCTTGGAAATGTTGGATACTCTGGGGCCATCTGCTTAATATATTTTTCATGTTTCAGTAAATCCTGTTCTTAAAATGCCTTCTTCCTTTTCTTTCTCTCATGTAAATAACCTTTCATTGTGAAGGTTTTATTTTTTCCCAACAATCTATATTTAGAACTTCATTTTATAGTAAATGAAATAGGTATAGGTGTCAAATAATATCCTAATTATTCATTCTTTGATTATAAAGGCCTAAAAGCAATCATGGACTATCCACATTTTCTTCCTCAAAAAAATACTGATCATGGTTCCATATTCCAATAACTTATTTCAATCTTTGGAAAAGATAATATTAGATTTCAGAATATTTGAAATATGATAGGAAATTATTAAAGCTGTACATATCAGGGCCTATGTGTGTAAGCTATACCAAAATCCTTCTAGCATTTTGCCAATGAAAATGCATTTGGCCATGTTCAGAACAGTTTTAGAGACTCAGGTCATAGCCAGATGTGTAATTCTTGAATAGAAAAAGATGTTAGAGAATCTCCTTTATAAAGTATCTTTGAGGTTTCCCTGAAGCAAATTATTTAGTAGGAAATATATATATATATATATATATACACACACACACACACACATATATATGTATATATACACTAAAATTATCACTGAGTTACTTTAACTTGGTTAATTGTAAATGTTGTGATCTTGGGTACATGTTTCAGAATACTGCTAACCAGTTGCCTTTGGACAGAACAAAATAAGCAGTGAACATAAAATTATGTTTTTGGTGCGAGGAGGTATTGGATATTTAAACAGTCACATGGGCTTCCTGCTGTACCAAGTAAAGCCACCATGTGTAATGGTCTCTCATACATTAGTGCAGCGACTGTACTGATGGGCTGAGTGCCAAATATGTTATGCAGGGCAAATACAGACACCCTGTTCATCAGAAAACATCTAGAATTCATTTTAGTTTCCTTTAACATAATTATAGCACTCCACCCTTCATCCCTAAAACCTGCAATGAGGACCTTTTGTCAAAAGAGTTTCTAAATTTACTATGGATGTCAAGATTGGTTTATTTAAACATTTCATCATTTTTTTTTTCCAAAATGTATTCATTGGTACTCCTATCATCTCTTAGGGGACTGAATCATATGTTTTAGATTCCAACCTGTCTTTTTAGTGCAATTTCCACCTTTCATTCTATTTAGTAGAATTTCTCTAACTGCTCAGTCACCCCTCACAGGCAAGGGTAATTGCAAACTGGGACTAACCTCACAAGAATTATACACTCAAAATGAAAGTTCAGAGTCAGCAAAGACAGCTTGGTGAACCTAAACCAAGTAGAGAAAGCAGGATACTTTTCCATCTTGATTTATACCACTCTTCTTTGTACTAGCCTTTGCTTGGCATTACAGATACTCCTTGATGTTTTGTGTGTGTGTGATATGCCACTTGAGAATATGAAGTATACTTGTATTAAACACTGAATAACTCGACAAATGAGAGCCAACATGTGTTTTCCCTTTTCTTTAGTCTTCACAGCAAAAGTGAATGTGAACTGTGTTCTTAACAAAGGGAGGCAGGAAATAAGGAAGGAAAAAGCCAGAGAATCGGTCATCATAAAATAGGAGCAAGACTCTTATGTGCTCTCATTCATTTGCTGTCTTTTCCTCTCATGTCTCTGACCTACTTTGTGAGTAATGATTAGTTTTTCACACCTGGAGACCACAAAACCCCAGAGTGAGGTCCAGCCTGCAGAATTAAGTGTGTGTATCTAAGCTGTTCATCCATTAGGATCTGAAGTTTTCTTCAGTTTGGTTAATCCTTGTTTCATGACCGAGGTAGGAGGTTTCAATGCCAGTAATGAGATTTGTATATATTCACATTGCTTCACACAGATAAAGACAGAAGTCATACCTATAATATATTAAAGTATATATTGAATGCCAAAGGGCAACAACCAGCAGGTTTCTTTTTTACTTGGAAGCTAGTGTATGTTCTCTTAGCAAAAATGTCCCCAGTTCCTTAAAAAGTACCTTTAATGAATTACCATTTCATTAGTATTGCTGTTTTCTGGTATGTAGCCATCCTTTGGAGCAAATCTATACCCACACTTCCTTAAGGATCTGCAATCTGCATTTAGAAAAAGATAGGCTTTTCCTCCAGAAGGACGGAAGAAACCATCATTTCAGGAGGTTTCTATAACATCAGTAACCTAACATCAGGAACCTAAAGTTTGAAACTTTAAGTTCCCAATTCACAACCTTCCACCTAACAGTATAGTCAGAGCTGGCAACCAGTGACAAACTGAGATTATTTATTTAATCATTTTTCATATAGACTGGGAGTGATTCAAGGATGGGAACCAGATCTTGTCAATTGTGTACCCAAAATACTAAAAATCAGTGTTTAGCACATAGTAGATCATTAATAATCATCACTGAATTGAACTGAACTTGCTAACACTCAGCACCAAACATTCTTTTTCAATTCCAGATATCTTATAATACTTTCATCTAGCCAATGAAATTTTATTTAGGAGACAGTGAATAAATTATACTGAAACTTTCTTTCAAGTGGAATTAAATTTACTTCACAAAATCATTATTTTTGAACCTGAGCATTTCTACAAAGGGTAACCCTAATAAGAAGGAAAAAATACCACAGCATCCTGAATACACATCTAAAACTCAAGTCAGCTAGTCAAACAGGACCCTGTAGAGGTTGATGTTATGACTAAAGAATACTGTAGTATTTTTTCTTAGGAAGTAGGAAATCTAATTACCTTCAAGTTTCTCACATTTGAACCATACTACAAATGAGTTGTGTCCAAGTACAGAAAAACCAACAATATTTTATTTATAATCTTATTTTTAGCTTTTGAACTACAAATTCTGGTTCTAGAGTTGTTTAAAAGTCATGGGTTTTATAGATGCTCATATGTAAATTAATCTGTTGTTTGCTTACTTTTTTTTTCTTCTCCATAGAATGGTCCTCCTCATAAATACAGAACAGGTCATTGCATGAAAAATATAAGATCTTGCATTTTTTCCTTGTTCTTTCTTAAAAATCTATTTCTAATATTGCATTCCCCATTGGACTACTTCATAAGAGTATGAGGGAAAAAGAAAAAAATTAATAAAAGAGAGACAAAATAGACTGGATCTCACCACTAGAATTCACCATAAAAATCTCAAAGTATAACAGAATTCTTACAAAATTTCCTAGACCAGTTCTTTAGGGAATTGAGATCTCCTATGAAAAATATGGCAATCAGGGAGGGGAGGGACGAGATGTGGGAAAATAGTAAATAAGTGCAGCAAAAACAGGTTCTGAGGAATACACATAATTTTGTCTGCTTTAGATCACAATAGAATTTTTAATAAATAAATTTCTTTTCTTTTTTGTTTTTTTTGTAAAGACACTTTTTTGAAACAGTAGATTTAGCCCAGTCATTTGTGTCATTTTTAATAAACTGTCTTTTTTTTTAATGATTGTTTTTCTGTAACTCTGTAAATGTTTTAGATTTGAGTCTCTTGTACATTGTCTTTAGAGTTCATTCGGATCAATAACGGTTCATGCACTGAACTGTGTATTGAATTTATTGTGTTAACTGTTGTTGTGTGGTTGAAGGGAGATTTGTAAGAGTTATAGTGATTCAGGTGCTCATGCTCGATAGCAGGCATGGGCAGGTGGCTCTCCATGGGTGTGTCCCCCGTAATCTCATCATCCACATTAATGATTTCAACAGTCCTTGTTGGGGCGTGATGGTTTTGCCGATGGTGCTGCTTCCTCATCTTGTAGAAAATCACCAGCATCACTGCAGCCATGAGTGTGATGGCCACAAAACACCCAATGATGATTTTGGTAGTCTTCATGACCTCATCAATTCCTGGGATCCCGCTGTTTATATCAGTCACCGGGATGGTGAATGTTTTTTCTGTCGACCTTGTGCTCTGTGGCGTGAGAGAGGTGGTCACATTGGTGGTCTCCCAGTCGATCACTGGAGTGGGGCCCACGTTGTTATCTGTGGTCCGAGCCTCATCCTGAGAAGGTTCCATAGTCTCTACTGTGACGGTTGAAAAGTAAGAGAAGGGAGTAGTGGTTGCTGCGGTAACATTCAGGGTGGCCGAAGCAGTAGTATTTCCAACGGAATTACTCACCATACATGTGTACATGCCTGTATCTTGCACGGTTACATTCGTGAAATTTAACGTACCATCACTGAGCACAGCTATCCGCACTTTGTAAGCCCCGTGTGTCATAACTGTTCCATTTGGAGTGATCCAAGACACAGATGTCAGTGACGTGGAGGCCCGACATTTCAGCTCAGCTGCCATGCCTTCAGTGACATTGAGGTCTGCAGGGGGCTCCACAATCACTGGGGCATAGCATGTGAAGTAATTCTGGTCAAGCTCCCCAATGTACCGCCCTTTTAGGTTAGGAGGAGTGTTACACCGGGCACAACAAGCTGTGTTGGAGGGGGCCATGTCTTTTATCCACCAGCTGAGCCACAGGATGTCACAGTTACAGTTCCAAGGGTTGTGATGTAAATGTATCCGCTCTAGATGATGCAAGGGCGTGAAGAGGTCATGAGGCAGTAATGTTAGATTGTTGTGTGCCAGGTTGATCTCCACTAGTGACTGAAGGTTATCAAAGGCGTTCCGTTCAATCACTTGAATCTGGGACTGTATCATCCACAGTTTTTGAAGGTGCATCAACCCCTGGAAAGAACCAGGCCTGATAGCAGATAAATGATTCCCAGAAAGATCTAGCTCATCAAGTTTTATGAGCGGCGTGAGGTTAGGGATTTCCCGAAGGTTGCACATGGCAAGGTTCAAATACCTCAAGTTGGACAGACCTTCAAAGGCACCTTCTGAGATGTATGAAAGTCTTTTCAATTCCCCTAAGTCTAGTCGGCGCAAAGAAGGAATTCTGTTAAAAGCGTAAGAAGGGATGCTTTCAATGGGGTTGTTTCGCAACCAGAGCTCCTTCAGTTTAGACAAATATACAAAAGCTCCATTCGGGATGGTAGTAAGACGATTGTCAAAGAGTTCCAGAGTGTTGAGGTTCGCCAGACCATTGAAGGCCCCAATTTCAATGGTTCTAATGTGGTTCCTACTCAACTGTAGGATTTCCAGGTGCCTCAAGTGCTTGAAGCTGTTCACTTTGATGATCTGGATTTGGTTCTCATGGAGGTTCAGCAGCCGTGTGTTGGTGGAGATGCCGTCCGGGACCTCACGCAGGTTCTTCCGAACGCAAATCACCTTGCTGAACTGGTTGCTGCAGGAGCACACAGAAGGGCAGGTTTGAGCCCGCACCAGACCAGCCACCACAAGAAGTTGAAGAGCCAGCAGCACCACAAGCAGGGGGTCAAATAGGGCCCTGTTAAACCTAGGACCTATCATTATCTGCTGTGGATGTAAGGTCATCTTGTTCAACATTCATAATTTATCTGGTGTTGGTCCTTCTGGAGTTCAAACAGTCTGAAAAATAATAAGAGCAAGAAAAGATAATTAGATCTATTCCAAATGTCTTTCTGGAGTAATGTCAGTGACATAGTGTATCATCTAAAGCCATCATTTCTCAGACTAAAAAAAAAAATCTAATATCTCTTATTGAGATATGTGGCTCACATTTATAGGGAAATGCTTCTGTAGTCCAATTTAGGAACCATTCATAGCCTACATTCCATCAGACGTATAATCACAGAGAAATGTATCAATGAGGTGAAGGGCCCTAACTAACATAGTGCTTACCAGTCTACTGTGACCCAGCTACATGAGGACATACGTGATAAACTCCACCATTAGTTTCAATGTCCAACTGGACATTGAAAAAGACTGGAAAAGTTCAGAACATAGGATTTTGCATCCATAACCAATAAGCTAAAAGCTCCTTTGCAAAATTAGTAATAGCTGACATTTAACACATTTTATTCTATGTGCCAGGCACTATGGGCTATAGAGTTGACAAACAATCCTATTCAGAAATGGATATATAATTTGTGGGGCCCAGTGCAAAATAAAAATGTAGCCTTGTTAAAATATTATTAATTTCAAAGCAGCAACAGAAGACCATTAAACCAATGTGGGCCCATCCAAACATGGGTCCCTTTGCAACTGCATAGATTGCATGCCCGTGAAGCTGGTTGTGAACCTCTCTAATCCTTAGAGCCCCCCTCTGAGGTAGTATTGTCAATGTCTTCATTTTAAAGAGGAAGAAATATAATCATAGGTAAAGTAATATGCAAGAAGTCACATGGTTAGTAAGTATGCAATCAGGGCTCAGACACTCATCAGATTGCTGCCAAAGATCACTCAGACACTCCATAAAAATGTTACTGGAGAATATAGGTAAATGCAAAATATAGTTCACAATTACTTTCTTTAAAATACCTTTGCTTTTGGGGTGATTTCACCTATAAACACTAGTAACTTAATTTATGGTACCTGTAAAGATACACTGAAATAGTGACATGCACATGTGTACATTAATGCCTACTGAGTCTCATATGTCAACGCTCATTATAATATAGCAAATTGCTGCCCATAGACAGACAGACCACAAATTAAATCCTTTCCCATGAAACATAATTTTCACTTATGGAAAAAAAAAGCATGACAGGACTGTTATGTCTTGTGTCACTAATTTTACTGGTTTTAAGTAGATTTTTGGGAAGGAAAATAAAAACTCACTTTCTGCATTTCTTCCAGCACAAGGAGGACTTCCAAAGGAGCTTGTGTTGTTACCCAGTATATACCCCCCCTGAACTGGCTTATTGTGGACTGGGCACCTCTATAACAACTTCTCTCTAATGTCTCATCTCAATAAACAGTGTATTTTCTATGAATCTCTTAAAAAGAAAAATATGAGGGGGTGAGGGATTCACCACATTCCAATTAATTCCGAAAGGCATTAATTTAATGCCTATTAGATGTCACTTTGGGCAAGTTACTTATTCTTTCTATGGCTCACTGTCCTGTCCTAACTTGCAAAATGAGAATGATGATAGGACCCACCCCTTAGACTTGTTGTGAGGATAAAATGAATTAATGCAGAAAAAGGACTTAGAAAAATGCCTTCACATTGTCGGAACTCAATAAATGTTAAATATTAATATTATTTGTTTTGTTGTTGTTATTAGCCAGACATTTTGCTAAATATTGGGTCTATAAAGATGAAGAATATAACACTTACCCCTGAGGAAATTTTAATTCAAAGAGAGACAGATAGGCAAACAGAGGATATACAATAATATATGTTCATTGCTATGGGACAAGACCACATTGGCACAAGGGTACTAACATTGGAGCAACTTAATCCATGCTGGGAAATTGGGAGTCGGGGGTTGTTTCCAAAGAGGAGGACCATTTGATCTAGGTTTTGTAAAAGTTGGTGAAGAAAGTAAAGAAGGGCATTTTTGGCAGAGGGATCAGCCTGAGCCATGACAAAGACACATGAAAAATGCTAGTACATCTAGGGAACCGTGCAATGTTCCCTATGTCAAGAGAATGAAGAGAGAGTGGGAAAGGAATCTGGGATGAGATCAGGTTTAGATATTAAGAACTGGTTATGTCAACCTTAAGAGCCTCCATTTTTCCTTCAGGCAACATATTTTATTTTTAGAAAAGAATGCTAGGATAAGCTTTGTTTTGAAGAATGGTAACATTGGGCTGATATGAGAGAAAGAAGAGCTATGGAAGAAACTAGTGGCAAGGATAACAATTAGGAAGATCTTCCAGTTGTTCCAAGTGAGCCTTGGAGGGAAGCAATCCCAGAGAGAGGTCCAGTTTGAAGGCCAACACTTCTTTCTCCACTAGCCCAGGGCTTGAGGAAGAAGGGCTGGCTCCTCCTTAGGAAATAACCCTTCCACAGGTTAGTGAGACCCCCAGTGATGAATAGTGACAGTTACAAAGCAGACACAAGGTGGAAAAGAGGCTTTTTTCCAATAACAAAAGATGTCCTCTTCAGGCAAAGCAGTCCTTAAACATATCCACAGTCACAAAACCACTGAAAGGGACCTTGGTCTCAAGAAGGTGATGTTAAAAGTCCTATATTGTTTTCTGGCTTCAGAGACGTGTTTTGTCTCCTTCCCCACAATAGCAAAGAAACATGACTAATAGGTTCTGAGTTATTATTAATACTTCTTTTTCTGGCCTTCCCAGGCCAACCACCTTGCTTCCTTCCTCAGGGCTGATGCAGCTCTAGGTTGACTTTTCACACCATCAGGTACTGTGACCATTTGTCTCTGGGTCTGTTTCCTCCATTAGCTTGTGGACTCTGAGAGCAGGGGCCACGAACCGTAGTCTCCTCTTGGCCTACTGCCAACACAGTGCCTGCCATCCTGTAGGCTCTAAATAACATGACAGCAAAAATGTGCAAACCAGTAAATATCTAATTGCAGCTCTTTGCATATATATATATATATATATATAGTGATCTATTCTTATGTATTAATCATGCATGCCTTTTTATTTTCTGTATTTTCTAATGTTTTGACTTCTGGGGCCTTGCTGATCCTAGAGAGATTGCCTTTCCAGGGGAGGGGGGGGGCAGTCCAGCAGCAATTGCTAGACATAGCAAAGGACTTGCCTATGAGCATAACTTTCATATGCAAACCAACCAATCCAAAGCTCATCCCCAGCCACCTCCTTTATCAGGTTCTTACGGGGCTCTTACACTCAGACCCCCAACCCCATTCCAGGTTGAGGTACCAGGCAACATGGGACAGCCCCTAGGTCCCAGAGCCCACCAAAATTATTCAAACTAGCCAGTCATAAGCCTGCTTATGCTGCCTTCCCTCAAAATCACAATAAAGGCTTTTGCCCACACTTCCTCTCATTGCTTCTACCTCCCAAACAACCCTGCTGCCTCCCAGTGGCCCCTGCATGCCATGTCCCCTCCTCTTGAGAGCTTGAGTAAAAACTACTTTTTCAATGGCAGTCATCTCTTGATCTGTCAGGGTCATTATTCCTGAGTAATAACAAAACCTGTATTTTAAAACAATTAATCACTAAACAGCAGGGCCCAGATCATCATATTAATTCTCTTCATATGTTTCATATGTCTGCCCCATTGCCTCATTTATATTGTGACAACAATGTGGTTAGTAAGCAGGCTTCACATTCTGCATCAGAATAAGAGTAATCTTCCATTATAAATTTAAACATGGCCTTGAATAACCCTTTGAGATTTCCATTATCAATAGAAAGCTATTTAAATTTCTAGTGATCATAACCACTGAAAATTTCTCATTTGTAAGATTTAATGTAGTTTTATGTATATTCCTGAAACACATAATTTTTAAGGTTATTAGGCATATTAAAAAAATAAAACAGCATGTACAATTCCTGATGCCTAAACCAATGAATGCTTTTAGGGTTGGGATTCCAGGGCCTTGTTCCTCCATGCCTACTTCCATCCCCCAGCCCAAGACCCTCTTCAGAATACTGGGGTCTCTGGCAACATAGGTTGAAATAACTGGATGACTGGAAATGGCACAGATGTGAAGAAGATAATTCCTTACTCTGCCATTTGCTACTATTTTTTTTTTAAATATAATATTGTAAAGGCATCTATGTGGAGTGGTTAAGAGGGAAAGCTCTAAGATGAGACTTCATGACTTCCTGTCCCTGCTTGAAACTCAATAACCTTAAAATTGAAAAAGCTACTTCACTTCTCTGTATTTTGTTCACCTTCCCCATCTGTGAAAGGAGAACAACAGTGTTTCCTACTCACAAGGCTTTTGCTGGGACTGTCACATACACATAATAAGGCATATGTAAAGTTACTGTCTCATATTAATAATAAGCAATAAATAATAAATATTTAGGATAAAAATTAAGTGATGGAACACTCAGTTTCTTCCTCTTCTATAAAGTAGGAACAACAATAACAGTTCTTATTCAAAGTTGTGGTTAAGGATTAACTGGCATGATCAGGAACATATCATCAGTAAAACATATGCAAATATAATAATTGCTTTTAATTAAAGGATACATGTGTCTCTCCTTTCTCAATCCTCAGGCCTAGTTTTTATTTTCTACTTCTTGCCTACTTCAAGATCTTTGTGCTACTGCAATTAATGAGATTTCCTATAAATCAGTCATAAGTAACGATTTATGAATTATAGCTGGTTCTAGGCTAATTTATAACCTACAGCAAATAATGCTTGGTACAGGCACTGAATTGAGTCAACAACTATCAACAAAAGACTTTCTACTTTAAAATCTAAATTATGTTACTTTACATCAAAAGCCACACATCAACATCTCTTTCATGTTTTTATCACATCAAAAGAAAATCAATTTAAAGGTATGCATTATCCATTAAAATGTCATCTGACAGCATTTATTTAAAAATTGTTTTGTGTGGGTTTAGAATGAAACTATGATACTTTTTAGTCTTGTTCCAGAGGATATCCTGACTTTGTCAATAGACCTTTCTTTCTCCCCCACCCATCCTTTAGTGCACTGAGAGCTGG